TCGCGCTGGCCCACACGGTGCGGGACCATCTGGTGGGGCGCTGGATCCGCACCCAGCAGCACTACTACGAACGGGATCCCAAGGTGAGCCCCGGGGGGACGAGGGACCGGGGCGCGGCGGCTGTGCCTTCCCCATGGGTGTCTCCATGCCCCCCCCGACAGGTATCATTGTGGACGTGATGCATGAGCATTCCCACAGCCTTGTCCCTTCCGTGCACCTGGCTGTGGCCGTGGCCCCTTGCCGTGGCCATGCCACTCGTGCATCCCACCATGGATTCATTGTCATTTACCGTCCCTCACACGCACCCTGCTGTGGCCGTGTCCCCGTGGACATTGCCACGGGCGCCTACCTTGTGTCCACCTTGCTATGGCAAGCCCTCACACATCTCACAGTGGCTATGTCCCTGTGGGCATTGCCACGGCTCTGTCACTTGCATGCACCTGTGTCCCCACGGGCATCACCATAGCCATGTCCCTTATGCAGTTGGCCATGACTCTGTCCCCACAAAAGGTTTTGCAGCACTGTCCCCCCTCAGGCAACCCCACAACTCTGACTTCCTGCACCTTGTTACTGTTATGTCCCCTGTGATCCCACCATGGGCACGTCCTCACACAGGTCTTGCTGCTGCCAGCTCCTCTGCACGCTTCAGTGCAGCCACATCCCGTACTCATGTTATCATGCTGGTGTGCCCTGTAAGCATCGTCACCTCCATGTCTCAGTATATGTCTCAGCACAGCCACGTCCTGACTTCATTCCTGCAGAACGCGCAGGCAGCTCAGCTTTGAGGCTGGAGAGAAGTTTCTTGCCTTGTGAAAACCAGACAAGCTCTCCCCGCTCACCAAACCCCAGGGTTCCTCCTCACTTGTCAAGTCAGGATGGCAATGCTGGATATGTTGGGGGCTGCAGGACATTATTCAGCCTTAATCCTTTTGAATTATGACTCGATCCAGAGCTTGACAGGAGAGCCACAGAGAGCAGGTGTGTACTTCGAAAGGCACATACCTTCCCAGCATGCAGGCAGCTGCCTCCCTGAGTCAGCTCTTTTCCTGAGGTTATGAATATTGCCTTGACACAAGAAACAAAGTGCAGTTCCATGACAGAATGGCTGCACATGCACTGTGAGTTATGCTGGTGCGTGAGGCTCTCCCTTTCATCCTTACTCACATAAACATGCCCTGATCCGTATTGCTACACCAACAGAAGGGATTGTACGGATCCCATAGAGGCTCAGAGGAGCTTGGAGTGGGTTTGCTTACTGTCCCCTGCACTCAGATTTTCACTAGAAACATGTTACCTGTGGGATAATGAAAGGAGCAGAGGTGGCAGAGTGGGTAATCCTGCTGCTTAGCAGGGAAAGATCCAAGCAGCAAAGGAAAAAGTTTCAAGAAGCACAAATTAAAGTCAGGTTATTGCTCTGCTAAAAATTCCTGTTTATTTATAGAAATATCCACAGTGATAAATCTGAGTGAGGGCAAAAGTTTGCACAGCCTGCTTCTCATCCCACAAACAGGCTTTCGTTAGCATTCACGGCACAGACACAACTCCTCTCAAACTTGGAAGGTCACTGCAGAGCACAGTTGTGCCGGGAATCCTGCCACCCGTGTGACACTTTATTTGTTCAACAGGGCAAAATGTGGGGACAACAGGAGGACCCATGTGATGGGAGTGCTGGAAAATTGCTAGCAGGAAGGCACTGGTCCCGAGCCCAGCCAACCTACATGGGCCAGGGGGCTCACTCTGGCTTTCAGGAGGTTCTGGATCAGCTTCAGTCCAGCATGAGAAAACTTTAAAAGCCCAGTGTAAACATCAACTCAGCTGAGCCTGACAGTGTATAAATATACCATTCAGCATCCTAGATAATTCTTGCCCCAAGTTAATTAGGGAAACACTTAACAGGCAGCAAGATTTTTCTATAGAAGGCTGTTGGCAGGGCGATGCGTGGCGGAGGGTTGGCTGCCGTCCCGCGTGAGATTCTTCTGACAAACAACTGTGGTGCGTGGTGTTTGGGAGCAGGCGCCAAGAGCCAGTCTGGGAAGACATCTCTGCTCTGGAAAATACTTTGGTCTGCTCTTGATTTTAAGCAATTTCAGTGACAGCAAAGTGTTGTGCTGTGTGTAAGCTTCTTGCTTTGCCTCCCCAGCGCATTTACTACCTGTCCCTGGAGTTCTACATGGGTCGCACTCTGCAGAACACCATGGTGAACCTGGGCCTGCAGAATGCTTGCGACGAAGCCATTTACCAGGTAAAGTCTTGGGGGTACCAGGGTTCCCCTGAGGTACTGGCCAAGGTTTTCCATGCAGATGGCTGGTTATTGTTCTTTCTCAGGGCTTCATCCCAAAGGATATGTTATTTAGACTATATAAAATGAGGCTTGGCCCTCTCTTAGTGTTTTTCATTGCCTAGAGAAGAGAATGGGGGGACCTTGGAGCTGGAGTATGGTTTTTTCAAACCATCATTTTCCTGTAGTGGATGGGAAACCCCAAGAAAACAACACCCAGTATCCCAAAAGACTAGGGAGTCACAGGCTGCAAAGACCTTTCCATTAGTAGGAGAGGTGGTGGCTTATCACAGGAGATTGTAGTCTAATGCAAGAGGCTGGGCCAGAAGAGGAAACCGGAGTACCAAAACACCAAATTACAGTTCATACATAGAGGTACACAAGGCACAGCAGCAGCCCTGCCAGATAAAAGCTAATCATTGGGAAGGGTGAAAGGGGGGAAAACATTTGCTTGAAGTAAAATGCCATCAGATGATTTCCAACTGGAAAAAAACCCACAGTTGCGTCCCACCAAGGCAATCACAAATGGGAGGCTGTGGTTTGTTGTCTACAAGGTTACTTGCAGCAGCACAGTGACCTCTTTTGACAGAAGGTGAGTTTTTTTGGTTTTCTCACCCAAAGACTTTATTTCTCCTCTTCCCCCCTGCCCCACCAGATTGATCCATTTTACGCTTTCTAGCAGAAGTTAGGCTTGGTCACTGTTTTTCAAAACGAGGTGCTACAGTTGCTGATGAAACAGCCTGGCGAGCACTTTCTCTGCCAAGAGATGGGATGTCCAGGGAGGGACCTGACATGTTTCCTCTCTGAGGTATCCTGCCTCGAAGGGAAGGCTGGGGTTTTTTTCAGGGAGGATCCTCTAGTTCCTTTGCAAGGCATTTCCATTTCCAACATGTGAGCAGAGGCTTCCCTTGCTGTAGCCTCTGGCATGTGGAGCTCATCATGGCCAATGGCCAGGTGGGATGGGACGTCTAGTAACCAGCATGGCTCTGTCACTGAGAGCATTTGCCTCAGTTTCTGTGGCTCCATCACCCTGTGCATGAGGATTTTCTACCTTGTGGTTGCAGACTGCTGAAGTGCTGGGAAAGCCATTTGGGGAGCAGCCATGGTGTTGGCCTGACTCTCTGCTGTCCCCTGAGAGGCAGCATCTCTTGACTTCTGGAGAGTCCTTGTGGCTGACCTTCATCCAACAGTGGCCCCCAGCCAGAGAACAAATAGCCCAAGGGAAGCAGGCAACTACTCCAGCCATAGACTGTGGGGACAGAGCTCAGCAGCAGTCTGGGCAGGATGTGGAAAGCACAGAGAGTGATGGTGAATGCTGCAGTAACTGCTGGTCATGCTCTTCCTCAAGGACCTGATGGGCACAAGCAGAGGGGCAATGTTCCTTGTCCAGGCAGAACTCGGTGGTCCCTTGCACAGTGGCTTAGCCACTCACCATCCTGTCTCCAATGGCAAGTTTGGTGGAAGGGCCTCCTGGCCTCCTGCCAGGGGAAAAGTGTTTTGTTTGGGGTCTCTAAGGAAATGGTGATGGATTGTTTTCCAATTAATTGGGCTGCCCAAGGACCAAGGGGCTGTTGAGCTGCTTTGTGGGGAAGGCTGGGGACAGATGCAGAGACCCCATGGGCTGAATTTCCCCCAGTGTGGGTGGTTTGGGGATCTGTGTTTGCCCTCCTCAGAAAGCAGCTCAGGACATGGGGTTTGTGTTTGGGGTCTCTAAGGAAATGGTGATGGATTGTTTTCCAATTAATTGGGCTGCCCAAGGACCAAGGGGCTGTTGAGCTGCTTTGTGGGGAAGGCTGGGGACAGATGCAGAGACCCCATGGGCTGAATTTCCCCCAGTGTGGGTGGTTTGGGGATCTGTGTTTGCCCTCCTCAGAAAGCAGCTCAGGACATGGGGTTTGAAACATGCTCTTTTTTTCTTTCCCTAATAGTTGGGTTTGGACTTGGAGGAGCTGGAAGAAATTGAAGAAGATGCTGGGCTGGGAAATGGAGGCCTGGGCCGCCTGGCAGGTAATACAGGGAGACAAGAGCTCCTTTCTCATTAAGAGTGCATGGGGACCCAGGGTGGTGTGCCTGGAGGCTGTCACACCCTCACCACTGACATCTGTCCCACAGGCCTTCAGCAGTGTGGTACCCTCCTGCCTGGTCCTGGCTGGCCAGAAACAAGCCCCCTCCCCAGTGACAGCATCCAGATGTAGGTGTGCATTCTGTAGCACAGGCTGTGGCTGAAAGAGGCTGTCTGGAGCCTTTGTTCTCACCTCCCTGTGAAAGCTCTCACTTCTCAGAGGCACTCAGCAGCTCTCACGTAGGCAGATTGTTGCCTGCTATTTTAGTCTGCCTGTCCCATGGGACTGATGGAGATAAGAGCTCCCTAGAGCAGTGTAAATGCGGGGACTGATCTTTACCATAGCTGCCTGGACTGAAGGCTGGAAGGGTTTCCTTTGGAAGTAATAATAGCCAAGCAGCTGGTGGCTCAGTGGGTCAGGGTCAGAAGCTCTGCTGTACTGGGCAGACAGGCTGAGAGCAAAGCACGAGCACCTTGGGCAAGATAAGAAGAGCTCTCACTGCAGCAAGGCTGGATTTGTGGGTTTGGTGACCTGTCCTTGTCATCAACAATTTTTGAGGGGTTCTTGGTAGCTCAGCAGGACATGCATAGGGTCCTGCTACAGTCTGTCTCTATCTGTGCCTTCCTCTGAGTAAATAAACATTTCCAGCATCATTGGTTGTGGCAGTTCATGCACAGCACACCATAGCCAATGCAGCAAGCGATGAGTGAAGTTCCTTGCAGCATGATGATGCTTTGTTCTTCCAGCCTGTTTCCTGGACTCCATGGCCACACTGGGGCTGGCAGCATATGGTTACGGCATCCGCTATGAGTTCGGTATCTTCAATCAGAAGATTGTTGATGGCTGGCAGGTACACTGACAAACTCAGGTCACCCTTTCTCCCTCTGTTTCATGCTGCAGTGGCCACTTTTGCCTCTGGGCAAGGCCTGGCCACACAAAAGGCACTGCAGTGCCTTGAGCTGCTCCTAAATTGGATGTTTGAGTCCATCACTGCACAAGACGGTGTGGGAGTTGAGCCACAGGGCATGGCTGAGACCAGAGGTCTCCCTGCCCGGGGCTCCATGGCACAACTGCAATAACCCCAGAGTCCCATCCAGCCTGGCAGTGAGTGGGCAAGGAATCAAGTTAAGGATGGAGATGTGCCTAAATACCTCATGAAGGTGTCTGGTGGAGGATGAATTTGAACATGATGGAACACGGGCAAGTGCCTGGGGTGCTGCTGCACCTGTGGGTTCCCTGGTACACTGGCAGTCAGGGCTTAAACAGGGACTTTTCTGTAGGATTAGTGATCATATTTTGCAAGAGAAAATAGGGTAAAAAAACTGCCCCAGCAGGCAGTTTCCCTAGTGTATGGTAATGGTTTCCACTAGGAGACTTGCCTTGCTTTTGAGCATAAAGGACCATTTTCCCCCCTGAAAATAGCTCTCCATAAGTTAGGGAGGGTGAGAGGTTTGAGGGTTGTTTTTTCCTCCTTCTCCACAAAGAAGCTGCAGTGGTAGGCCCTATAAATGGTGAAAACAGGAGGGGAAAAAAGCTTCCATTCTATTTGACTTAATGTTACTTAAAAAAGAACAGGGGTGGTGGCATGCTGTGTTGTGGCTCAGACCTGCCCACCCCACTCCTGCAGAGAAATGCCTGGAGGCACAAGGCATCTCTCCAAGTGCCGTAGCTAGTCTGGTTCCTGGATAATTCCAGCCCTGGCAACTTTGTTCCTGTTGCTGCTGTTACGAGCTGAGAGGAGAAACCCTGCAGAGGGCAGAGCAGTTACCAAGACCCGGGTTACAGAGTGTGGCTTGTGGCCAGAAACAGCACCAATGAGTGCCACATCCCATGTATTCCACAATATCCACAATCAAACTGGATGTAAAGGCATGGAGACAGACTGAGTGCAGCAGTCTGTGCAGTTTGGATGGTTTAAACCTGAACAGCGCTGCAAAGTCCATAGAGGCATAGTTATTTATACCAGCTGGGATGCAGTCATCCAAGTTTCTGAAAGCCCAGCTGTCCTCTAGAGGCCTCCGCATATCCATTTTAAAAGCTTTGCTTTAAACTGGTCTCCCTTTGGAGAGCTTAGTTTAGCCTTCTTTTAGAGATGCAAGCCACCCCTTGAACCCCATTTGCCTCTTGCAGGTGGAGGAGGCGGATGACTGGTTACGCTATGGCAATCCCTGGGAGAAAGCTCGCCCAGAGTACATGCTCCCTGTGCACTTCTATGGCCGTGTAGATCACACTCCTGAGGGTGTGAAGTGGATCGACACCCAGGTACCAACGTCTGTCTCCGTGCTGGGCTGGGGGAGGCCAAGCAGGGTAGTGAGGAGGGGGAGTGTCTGACCCCAGGCTGCCTGAAGTGTTCAGGCTTTGCTTCTCTCCCAGGCTGGCTAAACTCTCTCTGTTACCTTTGCACTTACAAAGGTGACTTTGTAGCCTACAGGATTTGAGAAAATTAAAATTTTGTCAATTTGTTGCAGCAGAATTTGAGTAAAAAGAAGGGTGATACTCAGCAACTTCAGATCAGTTGGGCCCTCCTTCTCTACTGATCTCCAGGGTGAAGCCTCACGGGCTTGGGTGTTGGAGGAAGAGTGTGTCCCTGGCAGCTCTGCTAGGCCATCACTCACTCACACCCAGGAGTTTTGCAAGTGGTCCTGGTGCTGCTGCTGTGGTTGGGGATTCATCTCATGAGATGGGCTTGGAGCAGTCCTGTGGGTGTTTAACTCCTGTGATCAGAGCAAGTTCCTCTTTCCCACAGCAGCCTGATGGGCAGAGTGCTGTTAGGGGGGAGGCTGGAAGTGTGGTTTCTAGTTTTCAGTCTGCCTGGAGGCCTTGTTTTGTGGCATCACCAAGAGCAAAGGCTCCTTCAGCCTTCCACAGTTGGGGAGGTAATGCTGTGCTTTAGGAGCACATGCTTGCTCAGGGCATGGGCTGCTGCATCATAAATGCATTCCCATCTCGCAGCTATGAAGAAGTATAGATTTATTAAGAGGATTGAAGATGCTTCAGCCTCTCTTGTCTATGCACTGCTCTAGATAAAGGAAGAACAATTAATTTCTCCCTGTTCCCATGATGTTCAATAGTCTCAGACTGATGAGACAGCTCAGTTCATCTAAATAGTTCACAGTCATAAAGCCCAGCCATTCCATTCAGTGCCAAGAGCTGAAGCTCAGTTGCAGAGTCACCAGGGCCTGCTGAGAGGAGAAATAAACCAAATCTTTTTCCAGGGTTCTGGTTGCTGAGGGCTATGCAGTTACCCAGGCTATTCCCAGGACAAACAGGGCAGGAGCTCAACACCACAGCCCTGTGAACAGCTTGGAGGCACTGTGCCAGAGCTCTCTGGTCCCCAAGTGCAGCAGGCATCCTCTTGAGGACCAAATACCATTGCATTTCAACACACAATGCTGAACATGCTCTTCTGATCGTGGTGGTAGTCCAGGGTTTCAGGGATCCCAAACACTGCATCCTACAAGGAGATGAATTTTCAGATAATGCTGTTAAGGGAACAAGTTGGAAAGGCTCAAAAAAGCCGAAGACGCAGTCTCCAAATATAGCATTGCTGAGTTCATGTGATGTGTGCCCCAGTCTCTGGGCAGGTTCTCTGCCTGCTTCCATGTTCGGAGCTGGTAATAGCAGCCTGGAGAGCCTGAGCTCTTGCTGATTCTCCCCAGAGGAGAGATGTTGTTGATGCCAGCACAAAGAGGCTGTTTAGAACCAACATGCTGATCTGCCTGGGTTTTCGTTGCTCTGTGAGCAGTTCCCTGTTCTCTACTGCCTCTGGCGGCTTTGCTTGGGGACAGCTTCTAGCTGCTGCACTGTCCTGCCAGTTCAACCAACTTGTTCAGGAGGATGCTGGCTCCCCCTTTGCCAGTGTCAGAGAGGTGACCCAGGTTTTGTGAGCCTTAGTCTGCAAGCATCATTCAGCTCTGCTGGCACAAACCCTTGGCCTCTTTTTTCCAAGCTGAGGTCGGGGTGCCTTGCCTTGTTGGCAGCAGGTCTGAAGGCACGCAAGTTTTGGCACAACAGTGAGTTGGAGCACACAAGTTTGCAAACAGACCCATGCCTTGGCTGGCTAATGTCATCTGCACTGGAAGAGTGCAGTGTTGCTCCCTGTAGCCATGTGTGCAGCATCCTGATGCTTAAGCATCATCTGTAAACTGCACGAATAGTTGCACACTCACATTCAGTTCAGGTGCTGGAGATCTCAGTGGATTTATCCAGGCAGGTTCAACAAACCCTGAGTATTGGGTGAATGGCTTTGGGTATGGTGCTGCAGTGGTAGGGTTTGGTCCTGGCAGACTGCAGAAGGCTAATGGGCAGGATTCAGGCTGTGGAGTTTATCTCAGATGGAAACGCAAAGGTCCCAGCTGCCCTGGCTCTACCCGAGCATAGACAGAATCACAGTGGCCAGCTGAGGATGCTTGCAGTGCTCTGGTCAATAACTAATACACCAGTTGGTATAAGAAGGTCAGCAGGTTGCTTGCAACTCTCTTTTGCATTTCATTGGTTGGTCAGTAAAGCTCTGGACAGCTCTGCTTCTCCTATGAATGTTTTCCCAGTAGGTGGTGGAAGTGCCTGTGGTAGCAGGGAAGTCTGTGAAGCTCAGCAGGTGTTTTAGTAAGGTGAGGTTCTTACCACAGCCAGGAGTTGTCTGTGTCCTCTGGGTTCTTCCTGCAGAGATTTCAGCCACTTTTCCACCTTCTCTGAGGCCACTGTGCTGCTAACCAGAGGGGGATACTGTCCTTTTGCAGATTGTCCTTGCTATGCCTTATGACACACCAGTGCCAGGATACAAGAACAACACTGTGAACACCATGAGGCTGTGGTCTGCGAAGGCACCCAATGACTTCAACCTCCGAGAGTGTAAGTCCTGTGCCCTCACTGCCGTTCTGGCCAGGCTGGGACACAGTTGTTCCTGTGTGCATAGCACCTGGCACAGCAATTCCCATCTGGCCTGCTTTATCTGTATTTCATAGCTCCCTCCAAAAGATAGCATTGTGTGCACATCCATGGATCACACTACCTCCAACCACTTCCAGAGCCCTCATGCACCAGGACACCCATCCATACTCCTTCCATTCCCATCAGACTTACAATGCTCTCACAATCCACCCTATGCCTTCCCCCAGTGACAGACCACCTGCCACCAGATTGTTTTCATCACCAAATGAGCTGCAAACCTGCCAGGAAGGTTCATTTCTGTGCAGCATCATCCATTAGTGCCTAAGGAAGAAAGCAGCACAGCCCACCTTACTGTTGGTTTGCTTTAGATGTATTTTCCAGGCTCTCTTTGTAGTGCTGAAGAGCAGATACAGGGCAACTAACATACCACATGTCAGTGCTAGGTTGTTATGGAGGGGGAAGGATTTAGACAAGACTTATTTGATTTATTTTTCCATACTGGTGAGTGCTGAGATGCATGTTTCTAAGCAGCCTTCCCAGGAGAACTTGTGAGACATGGGATGATGGCCTTAAGTGTCCTCAGTTCTTGACTGGCAGCTGTGAACTGGGTTTTGATGAGACTTTTGTACCCTTTAGGAGTTGAGTGTGATTGTGGTGTTTGTGCTTCCTTGCCCAGCCCCATAGAATCATAGAATCAACCAGGTTGGAAGAGACCTCAAAGATCAAGTCCAACCCTACCATCATTCTCCTTTGTTCTTAACCAAGATGGCTCGTGACTTGCTTCCTTGTTTTGCCTTCTCTGACTGCTATCTCTCTTCAGTTTCTGTCTGTCCTTACTGTTATGTGTGCCTTGAGAAGCACATGGAGCTGTGTCTTTCTCTTATCCTATCTCCTCCTGTCACTCTGGTGCCTTTCATATATGTACATTCCCAACATATTCCATTAATACCAGCCGGAATGTTCCTGTTATAAAAATCTCTCTACAAGAGAAGAAAAAAAAGCACAATGTCAGGGACCTGCCTGAATCTCTACAGCTGCTGCAGTGCTGTCTGTATTTCTCTCTTGACTGCAGTCAACATGGGTGACTACATTGAGGCAGTGTTGGATCGAAACCTGGCAGAAAACATATCCAGAGTCCTGTACCCAAATGATAACGTAAGTGACTCTCTTACCTCTCTTCCCTGTTGCTCAGAATCATCCTTCCTACAGCTGTGTCTCCTAGTTTGCGAGCACTGGATATTCATGACCACCTGATGTTTATTGTTCTGGTTTGAGGATTTTAATACAATAGGTTGTCCCAGTGAACAGACACAGCTGCTGGCTCCAGAGGGTCTCTGCTGACTGATGGGAGCTGAGTCTGACCCACATTGTGTAGCTGCTCTGTTCCCTGCTGCAAGGACGGAAAGAAATATTACTCTTTCAACTTCAAGGCAGTTGCCAATTTACACAGGGGGGACTAGTTTCCATCCCCAGTTCAAGGGATTTCTCACTGCAGGGGCTGTCCCAGGCCAAGCACTCACTGGGCACTGTGTCCAAAAGGGAAGAGTCCTCACTGTCTAGTCACGTATTAGCATCTGTGCTGGAAAAG